AAAAAAAGTCAGAATTCTGACTTTTTTTCCCATGTTAAACTGAAATAAAATGTAAAAATCAGTTAACAGTTTTCTTTTTTTTTTTTTCAGTGGCCCTAATCCTCTTCCGTAAGAAACATTCTTGCTCTTACCTGGAGCTTTTTAATCTCTTTCTTGAGGTCTGCTTCATATTTCTCCTTCTGGTTTGCATTGGCTGCATTGTGAAGCTGCAGAAACAGAAGAGAAAGCAGGTTAAAGCAAGTAGCTGCTTAGAGGAATTCAAAATAAAAGTAATGTTATTCAAATCGATATAAGATGAAGGGTTGAAAATGTTTGTAGCAGGTCTCAGAAGTCATTGCAGAGGAATAAAGAAGTACCTCAAACATTTCGATATGGAAAACTGCATTTTGTAAAATACTTTGATTTTTAGCCCCAACAGTAACAGGATTCAGCTAAGATATAAAATGAACTGGGTAAGGGTTTCCACATTTTATTAAAGAGAAAAAAAGCCCCATTAGTGTTGCAAAAAAAGCTTCTTTGATGCCAAATGAGAATCGAAGACCATTAAAGCAAAAATAACTGCAGGATATAATGAAGGCAAAAAGACAAACTGGGATCTTTGTTACCAAACAAATCCAACCAATGACTCAATGCTTTCTTATCTACAGAAATGATCTAGTCTCTCTGCACATCTTCATTATTCCTCTGCAGGACTACAGAGCATCTCTTAAATAGTAAGACTGAATGTTATTTCCAAACCTTAAATCAGTGACATGAAACATAAGAAACATTCAGTAAACTAATCATCCTGCCGTACGGTATAAAGGTCAAATAAGTTATTAGTGATTATTTGAATCATTTATTTTTAGAGAAATAGTCTACTTGTAAATCTTTAAGATGTTTACCAAATTTATAAAGACATTGATAAGAAAAAAAAAATCTCTGGATTTCACAAAGTAATGATTTTATCGAACTAAACTAAAGGATCAGGAAAATGTTGACAAAATGTTTGGATTATTTAGGTTTTCATCTTATTTCACTATTTTTGAGATAAATAAGGCAGAAATATTTATTTCTGACTATTTTCTGTTTTTCCAAACCTGATGATGGATCCATTTTTTGGGGGGGAAATGCTTAAAATACGTTACCTTTTGCCAAATGTCTTCAAACTGCTCCACTCCCTCCGCTACTTTTTTCAGACATCGATCTATTTCCCCTGAAAGAGACAATAATGAATACAATAAAAAATATATACTTCTATGTTAGCAAAGAACAGCTGACAAAAAAAAAAAAACACATGCCAGTTTGATGAACACCAACAGATAATAAAGCCAAATAAAATGTGTCCTCTGAAACTGAACTCATCCTTTAGGAAGTAGTGGGCTGCTGTGCAGAACCTTGGCCCCATTCGGCCCAACCCAAAGTTCACGCAGCATTCTTCATCTGTGCAATTTGCTCTCTATGATAAATCAAAGCCAGTCTAGTCAATGTGGTAATTCACATGGGCTGCATGATGCTGGATGACGGACAGCCTTCCTCTGTCAGGGACAAGGTTAGGGTCCATTTTTAAAGGAGGATGGAACAAAACACAGAGGTTTCTAAAAACCTGAAGAGCCAAAGAGGGAGGCGGATAAGGGAGTGTTTTGCTTTTGACTGATGCATTAACGGATCCTGCACGCATCCAGTATGAATCACCGTAAGGAACAATATGTGATCAGTAGCCCTGGTTCCATCCAAATGTGATGCCAAATTTGAGCGAACTTTTAAGAAAAAAATAATAAAATGCGGATAGACACATTTCCATCCACTTGAGCAATTGTCTATGGTGATTTTATTTGATATTTCGCTTGGCTGTAGTAAAGAGGAAGTAGAGTTGGTAAGCTGGCGTGGACAACAGATTAGTGAAGGACTGATGTTTGAATTAATGCGTTGCAATCGGGAAAATTGACCGTCAGCTGAGTCAGTGATGGTTTGTGCCATCCAAGACTTAGAGAGAGAAACGTGATTCTGATGCTGCGTACAGGATGCCAGCGGCAGCAGAAACAGCTGATGAGTAATGTGAGGTAAATATTATTATTAGAACTTATTTAAAAATATATATATATTTACATCTCCTCTTCAGCACATTTATTCCTATTTAAAAAGTCCAAAACAGCCTTTGCACAAGCATCAAAATGTTTTTTTTGCGTAATTTAGCACATTATTCAAATTTGGCTGTTTGCATCAAGCTCTTCAAATACAATTCTTCAAAATGTGCAAAAGGAAAAAAAAAGGTTGATGGAAAGTGTCTATTGTAGTTGTGGTGGAAGGGTATAGACCGTGGAATCGGAGTGCCAGTTTAAAGAATTCAAACCAGGAAGCTAATGTTGTAATTATGACAAAGTTTGAAATGTCTGGAAGAGATGAGCCAAAACGCCATCGTTTTAAATATTAGTATCAGGAAAGAGACCAATGAGGGCGTTCTGGTCCAAGTTCTCTGATCTAGATCAGCTTCCCCATCGTGAAGCTCTTCTACTTTGATACAAATGAACACAGGAAACTGTTAATCAGTTGAAAGCTCAGTCAGCTCCAACGCAGTGAAGCAACAAAACAAGGCTAAAGCCATTTACCCCGCTGCTGTACTGGATCACTGAAGAAAATATCATGCAAAATTACCAGAAAGACAGAAATTGCACCTTGTTTTTGCTTAATATGTTTGTATGTTTCTTTTTTAAAGAGGCCACAGCAATAAATAAATGACATAAAATACAACAATAAAGGCAGCAAACGACAAACTACAGCTGACATCTCATGAAATATGCATATCATGAAAGGTTTCCACTAAAGGTGACATATAAACATATTACTACGCTAAGCGTCTCCCAGAATCTGAACGTGAAGATAAAGAGACAGTATTTTAAAGACAGCAAGAAATAATAAATGGTTTATATTAAATGAGTCTTTAGGCTCAACAAAAGCTTGAATAATCTTTAATGTCACATTTCGTCATGAGGGGGGAGATCAATTCACTAACAGGAAAATGTTCAGGTGTAGCATTTAGGTATTTTAGCCCTGTGATATGCAGAGGAAGGCTCTTTCAAATAATAACTTCCCCACAAACGACTAAATCAGGCTAAAATATCTAAGCCATTCATGTTGCAAATATTTTAAAAACATAGTGAAGTTCAATTTTTTATTCTAAGAGACCTTTACATCCGTCGAAGGCTGCTCTGCTGTAAGTTATCAACTTAATCTATTACTAATTTTATGTTTGGCTCACTTACCCAAAACTCAAAGGTTGAAGTGGGGAAACATTTGAAAGTTAGGAGAACATAAACAGGTACTTTGGTTTTCCAAAAGCTTTATGCATGTGTGATGCATGAGCAGTTGAACACAGCCAGAGGCAACAGATAGCAGCTGCCTGACATGGTCTATTAACTCGGACAGGTTGTCTGTTTGCTCTTCTACTCTGAATAAATATGCATGGAAACATTTAGATGAGGGTTTGATTTATTTAGGTTTGAAACAATTAATCGGATTAATTGATTATTAAAATAATCGTCAATGAATTTAGTAATCGATTAATCAAGAACTGGAGTGTAAGGACTCTAAAACCTGCTTTTAACTGACAGAGAAGTCATTATATCAACAGTGTAAAAAAAAAAGTAAACATTTTGCATTTAAGATGAAAATCTTTTTCATCTGTCAATATGCTCTATCCAGAACTAATTTTAGTTTCACCTGGTTTGATTTAGCAAAAAAGTCTACTTTAAGGAACCTTTGGCTATGTGATTATTAATCAATTATTCAAAAAAATTATTGACAGAGTAATCTATTTGCAAAATAATCATTAGTTGCAGCGCTAGATTTATTGATTTTCTGCATTTACTTTCTAATAAGCTGATTATTTCATCCTAGTTCAACCACATGTAATGGTATAGCTCAGTGATTTCTGGGTATATGTGTTCAACCAAGGCTAGGTCTGGAGATCTGGTCCGCAAATAGAATAGAAATGCCCTTTGTTGTACGTTTCGGAGGAAATTCACATGTCCAATCAGCAAAGAGAAAAAAAAATGGAGGCATGCAGATATGCTCAAGGGTAAAAACTGAAAACTAACAAAAAAAAAGGTTAAACCTCGAGTATAAATATTTATGCATAATAACCGACTGTATACAAGTTCTTAATAAGGCGCTTCTGAACCAAACTACCGTAATCAAAAAAGATGGGAAATGGAGAAAGAATATTTATTTTCCGAATGTAAATCCACCCTTAGAAGCATAATGCTCTGAGCTTTGTTTATGTTATTAGAAAAAAATCTGTGTCAAAAGTCTTGATCTGTTCAGAAGCGAAAATCCTTGTGAACCAAAATAAACCAACCACCAAACTCATCAACAATAAACAAACCTAATGAATACAAGTCATTTCTAAGAAACATGGAAACATTACAGACACAATTATCATAAATGGAGCAAAGGCGGAGATTTTGTTTTCCTTTAAAGAAATTCCCAGCGTTCCTTGTGAGAGAACTGATTCCTAACCTGGTTTATTCCAGGGCTGCAAATAACCACTATTTTGCAAATCAATTCATTTCAGAATTATTTTCTTGATTAAAAATAGATACAAAAAAGCTCTTTAAACACGACATTTTAGGACATTAAACCAGCTAAAACTAAGACTTGGATAGAACATATTGACACATTTTTTTTATTATTTTAAATGTGAAATGTTAGAATTTTTCTTTTTACAATTTTGGTATAATTGATGCTCTAAGTGGGTTGCTCTGTCAGCTAAAGTTATGTCTTAGAGTCTCTACACTCCAGTTAATAATTAATCGATTACTAAATTAGTTAACAATTATTTCAATTATTGATTAATCCTGATTAATCTGATTGTTTCAGTCCTAGTTTATTCCTAGTTTACTCTCGTCATCATATCTGACATTTTGAATCAATGGGTTATACATATATAATATGGGTGGAACGGTTCACAAAATCCACGGTTCGGTTCGGTTCACGGTTTCATGGTCACGGTT